AATAAAACTCAGTCCTTACCAAGGATTTTTAATGAAAAATAATCCATATAGCAATAAAATAAAATTAATCAGTTCCCAAAATAAACAAAATGGTATTTTTTGGTTTCTGAAACGAAATTAAGATTTAAATTTTTAATGGACAAAAAGCATAAACAAAAAGAAAATTGATAATTTTAATATTCCTTGTTGCTACCTCTAGCCCTTATGCAAGCTTCTATCCGCGCTGGCATGCTTCTTGTTAAATTATCCACGTTGTCTTGGGGTATGTTTTCCCATTATGCTAATGCTGCATCAATAAGCTGTGCGAGATTTCCTGGATTGTTTCGACGAGCTCTAACCCTTCTTTTGACCTAGTCCCACAAGTGTTCGATAGGGTTTAGATTTGGTAAATAGGCAGGCCAGTCCAAAACTATAACACCTTCCGTTTCAAGACATTCTCTAGTCACTCTGCTGGTATGGGGAGGTGCACTATCGAGCATGAAGTTAAAATTATCCCCAATTGCAGCTCCCCAAAGACTAACGATTGGTTCTAGCACCAAATCAACATATCTCCGACCCCTTAAAATTTCTTGAAGTGGTAACAATGGAGTTTTTGCTCCTAGTATAATACCTCCCCAGAATATTACAGTTCCTCCTTTATATCTTGATACAGATTTTGCAGCCTGAAGTCTCGGTCGTCTTTCTGGAGCTCTAAGAACCCGAATTCGATGGTTATCTGATCTTAGGCCAATTCTGGTCTCATCCGAAAAAAGAACATTTTGCCAATTCTCAGTTGTCCAGTTTTGATGTTGAAGGCATCAATTTAGCCGGTCAATTTTATTTTGCCGAGATAACTGTGGGATCCGTAACTCTCTCCTACTGTAAAACTCTCATGCACGAAGCCTTTCTCTTATGGTTTCAACTGAAATATTCACACTTGTAGCTGCCAGAAGTTGTCTTTGTAGCTCTGGATAAGAAACATTGGGATTTATTCTAGCAATTTAGCACACAAGGCGGTCTTGTTGTTCAGTTGTGACCCTTTGACGACTTTGTATGGGCCTATCCTTGTGTGTTTCTAATTCCAAATATCTTGCATATGTTTTCGATACAACACCCTGGGTAACGCCTACTATCTCTGCTACGTCTCTCTGGAGCATTCCTTGTTCGGTGAAAGCAATAATTCTTACCCTCTGTACATCTGTTAATACAACATAAAGCATTTTTTATTTTTTTTGGATTGAATAAAAATTACCGGACAATCGTGATTTTACTACTGAACACAAAATTCAAAAGAAAATAAATTGCAGCAGTCGTTTATTTTTTATTATCATGTTTATTTATAACAAAAAGCCTTATCTTAAAGTTGTATACCAATTTTTATCCTTGCAAGAAATTTAGTCAGAAATAAAGACTGATTCCATATAAGTTTGGTTGTGTGTACATGCCGAATTTGAATAGAATATTTTTAAATTTATCAAATGCAATTTTAAAATATTAATCTTAATATTTAACACTTATAATAATATTTTATTGTAATTATTGTGAGCTACACTATTGAGGTGTCAGATATGTTTTCATTTAATTCTCCTGATAAATCAATTCTTACCCCGTCGTCAATACAAAAAATTATTCTTGGTTTAATCGAAAAAATTCTTAATAAAAACCAGTCAGCACAGTAGATAATCATGAGAGAATTAAAGAAAACAATGATAAAAATTTATATAATTTATTTCACATGGTCGAAAATAGTAATATTAATATAAGAAGTATTGAAGTAAATGTAGAAAAAGATTATAGTACAGTGTATTGATACATAAATATCATTGACTTAAATTGACTCATAAAGAAATACTAGAGTAGGGCGAAGAACGCAGTAGTTCAATATATTACAATTTGTACAGGGTGGCTCGAATTCGACGCTCATCATTGGGATTTCAAAAACCGTTAGAGATATAGGATCGGTTAAATGGAGGCAAAGTTGCGCAATTTGATGCACAATAAAATTCCATATTGCATTTTGAAAAATTCCGAATACTTCCGAATATATTCGAAAAAAATAGGAATTTTCAATAAAATAAAAAACACATTTTAATGGCCACTTTTTCTGCTCTATAACTCTGTGTAGTTAAATATTGAGTCTGACGTTTCGGCGTCTAGCGACTTAATTTTTTTAAATACGGACCTGATTTTTTTTTATTTAATTAAATCCATTCATCACTCATAAAAAACTATATATAGTCACTTTGATATTTGCGGACGTTTCGTACAGAAAATTCCATCACCAGAATATCTTATGCAAAAAAAAATAAAAAATAAAAATGCAATACGGCATTTTATTGAGCATCAAATTGCGCAACTTTGCCTCCATTTAACCGATCCTGTATCTCTTACGGTTTCCGAAATCCCAATGATGAGCGTCCAATTCGTGCCACCCTGGACAATAGTACAATTTTTTTAATGGAAAGAACTTTTGCTGTAGGTATTACTATTTCTTAATACTAAATATAATAATAATACTTAATACTTTAATACTTATTCTAATTCCCTCATAAAACCATTTCTTGTCATATTCAGTAAAATCATTTATTTTTTATTAAATGATTGGTTTAGAAATAAAGATCTTTTTTCTAAATATAGTTTTTAATTTATACATTAGCTAAACTTAGATTTAAAGGAAAAAAAAGTAAACCCGTTTAATATGGATTGTAATTTGTTGTACTGTCTACAAATACGTCATAATTGTCCAGAATTTTTAGAAATTTAAAACTTGTTTGAATTAGACAAAACCCTCGTTTGGGAAATATTATTGGACATAGACAAAATCATAGTTTTTCTAAAATTAACATCGGCCTGTCCAAAATTGTTCAAATTTGGCTTGTGTATTTAGTATAAAGGGTGCGTCTCAAAAGTGGCTCATCCCTATAACTTTTTTGTTTCTTTAGTTGGAAAAAACAACAGATTTGGTATGTTAGTAGGTATATAACATAAATTAGGATTGACAACTTTTGATTTTTAAATGGCACACTCGATATATTTCATTTTATTCGATAGAAAATGACATTCTGAATAGTATGAAATATCATATGTCTATTTTTGACATTCGCTTAAAAATAAATCGTAGTTTAAATTTCAGTCTAGAGTGCCATGGCTGTGTTAAAAACACTAATTTTTAATTAGGGAGCTTTCGAAAAATATACTTGATAGTCTAATGTTTTTCGTGTTTTGTCCTGGCCGGTTAAAAGATGCCCAAATCGTTTTTTAATCATATCTCAATTTTTTCAAATAGAACGAGGGTGGTTTATTAGCATATTGGGAAACAGCATTTTTTACGAATAATCTGGTAACACTTATTGGTATTTTGAGTCAAATTGTCCATACATTTATGGCCATGACACTCTAAGTTAAAATTTAAAATGCTATTTTTTTAATTGAAAATATCAAAAGTTGACATATGCTATGCCATTCTATTCAGAATGTCATATTCTATCAAATGAAGTAAAAAAATACCAATAGCGTCATTTAAAAATCAAAAGTTGTAATCATTTCCGGTAAAACAGGAGGTGACTGAAAAGAAGCGAATATGTCAATCAATTCTAATTTATGTCATATACTAACATATCTATATAATCTCGTTTTAATCTAAAAAATTATAGGAGTAAGCCACTTTTCAAACGGACCCGGTATACTCACACCTTTACGAAATATATTCACTCTTTCGCTGTAAAATCAACAGTAAATCCAAGATAAAGTTTGTATCACGCTGATAAAAATATTCTCGTGATTTTCAAGAGTATGGGAATCTAACTCTATAAAATTATTTATGATGAAATTAGTTACTTATTGTTACCAATACCAACTTATTGTTGTCAACCAAAATAGCAGAACATCGACATATATGAAGGCCATATTATGGTCTTGGGACAAGAGTATATACAGGGTGGTCCGAATTGTATTCCGGAAACTTCGGCAGCATATTCTGCAGATAAAAATAAATAAAAAAGTTCCTATAAATGTATGTCCTAAAATACTTAGTTTCGGAGATACAGGCTGTAGAAGTTTCATTTTTATTTCGATTTTTTCCAAATAATCTGTAAAAAATTGACGTTAACAATATTTGGATGAAAATTGGTGAATGGGTGTTTTTTGACATGAGAAATTTGATTTTGATATCAATATGACTCCCATTTGTAGGTGGCGCCACCTACATGTGTTTTAACTGTTTTGAAGAGTAATAACTTTTCGTCGGTACCTGTATAAAACTACTGAGTAAAAAAATATACATTTGCGATTTTTTTACATAAAAAAGGTCTCTTGGTTTTTTACATAAAAAAAATCGCTGCGAGTAATGGTTCTCGAGATATTTGGAATCGAAATTATCAATACCTGTCATCAATGACATAAATTAAACATGTTGACTAAATAATAATTAGACTGAAATCATAAATTTAAAATCTTTTTGTGCCAAAAGTTCAAAAGAAATTGTTTAATCATCATTTTTTCGCAGAAAACCTTATGATTAATTTAAAAAAATAAAAATTTATTATTTCAGTCAAATAACTATACTCAACGTGTGCTTATTTGTTGTCAATAATCACATGTATTGACTATATCCATTCTAAATATCTTGAGAACTCCCAGATACCAATTTTCATCCAAATATTGACGTCACTTCAGAAATTATTTGGAAAAAATCGAAATAAAAAAGAAACTTCTACACCCTGTATCTCCGAAACTAAGCATTTTAGGACATACATTTATACGAACTTTTTTACTTATTTTTATCTACGGAATATGCTGTCGAAGTTTCCGGAATACAATTCGGACCACCCTGTATACTCTTGATACAAGAAAATATTTATATCAATGCAGATTTACAGTGTTTCCAATGATGATGCACCCGGTATATTTTTTATGTTATACCTTTCAGGATAAAAAAATCTGTCATTGCGACAATTCGTCGGTATTGTTGACCTGTTGACTACATAATATGTCACCAAATACGTCAGTGTCCTTTTAATTAGTACACAGTTAACACAGTTACATTTTTTCTGATCAAAAAAAAGTGCCCGACGAATGTGACAACAAACGCCCATTATAAATTTACCACACGAGCGATCTGTGGGCAATCGAATTTCACCAGCCGAATTATATTGAAGTGGTTCTTGTCCTACATCCCAATTAATGCGATAACGTCATAGCCATCGGAACCTGCTGTATGGATGTGCGGAAGAATGGTACCACGAACCTAGAAAGAGAAAAGTGGTTTAGCTGCGAGCGATCGGGGATCGGCAAGTACCATTATCGTTTGGTGATTTAGCCACTAAAGTAGTAACTAGTGTACCGTCGAGTCGTAACAGAACATTTGTAAAAGTACTGCGGTACGACGCGCATACTTCTCCATGATCCATTTTCGGCACCAGTTACATTGGCACCTTTGATTTGAAAATAACTTTTTAAGGATCCTAGTTTGTGTCGTCTAGCTTTTTTCTAATTCAAGGTGAGATATTATTTTATATTTTATTAAATAATAATTATCCATTTCACCTCAGTTAAAAATGTACGCTTTTTTAAATTTAAATAAAAAATTAGACTCATCGGTATAATGGACATTAATTAATTTTTCGTTATCAAATATTATACAACCAAATACCTAGATACTTGTTTTAGGTAAAATTATTTTTTTATACATTCATATGTAGGTATTTAAAATAGTAACTACATATATTCAACCTAATTTTATACAGGGTGCGTCATAAATAAGTACAAATATTTTAAGGGAAAGTATATGAGTTTTTTCGCGAAAAAAAATTGAAAATTTGGAATTTTTTGAAAAAAAATTTGGAATTTTTTTTAGTTTTTAGTTAAAAAACATAACTTCGTGATGATATGGCAACATAGGTAGTAGATTAAATTTACAAGAAAGAAATCTCAGAACAGATCCAGCGGTTCTGAAAATTTAGGCAAAAAAAAATTTTTGGAAATTTTCAAAGTAAAATAACTCGGATATTTTGGACTTATTTGAAAAACAGTAAAGATAAAATATGTTTGTTTTATCGATATTTACTAGGACTGAAAATAGTTGCACTTCTACCCACCCTGTATATTTACAAACAAATTTTATATATTTACAATATTGTAATTATAATAATTAAAGAAATATATTATTTTAAAGAAGAGAGAACATTCAAATAATTTTTCGTTATCAAATATCATACAACCCAAAAAGCTATATTATGTACCTACTTGTTTTATGTAAAATAATTTTTTTATACTTTTAGTAATAAAATATAAATTTAAAATAAAATAAGCCATACACGGTAATATATCCATATTCAACCATGTACCATATTCAATATTTTATATTGCAACTTATTATAATAATTACAATATTGTTTGTATAAAATTAAACAAATATTTTAAAGCAGAGAGAACATTCCAAAATGTTCCTTCAATTTGAAGTTACAGGTACCTACTTTAAAATACACAATTTTAAGTTATTTTTTTTTTCAAAAAGTTGGTTTATACTATATTCTTATAACATAATTTATATCGGGCGACGAATGCCTCGAAAAAAAATTGGTTTATTTAAAAAAAAAAGTTTTATTTTTACTATTATTTCTATAAATTTTCTAAAAAAAATCAAATTTCTACAGTTATTGTTATACATTCATTGAACATATCTATTAATTATATTGAATAACAAACTGTGAAAAAAAACTTAAAATTTTTGCGCTATGAAACGTTTCTTGTACCCCTAAATAACAAAAATTAATTTTTAACTCAAATATATGTTTTTTTCTAACGTTCTAACTACATAATTAATAAGAATAGAATGAATGTATATAAAAAATGAGTTTTTTAAAATAATATACTAAAAATTACAAATTCAGTTACCCACTTTTTTTTATTAAACTTTATTTGTAAATAAATACTTTATGGTATAAATGCATATGCAAAATTTGAATAATTTTGGACTATTTTTAAATTAAAACTGAATAAGTAACAATACAAACCAGGCCAATGCCACAATACTTTAAGATTTGGTCCATCCACAACATGTGATTTTGTCATTGTCAAATGTATCACTTTAGAATATTTATTTTAATACTTAAAAACAAATTAAAAAAATTATATATTATTAAAGCTTTATGTGTAAATAAGTATTTTTTAAACGTTTTCCTACTATTTAAATTTGATTGTTCTATTTATAAAAAACATAATTATATTTTTGACTGAAATTAGAAAGTAAAATGTTTCGAAAAGTTACTTTTTACTATATTTTAACAACATAATTTATAACAATAGAATGAATGCATCTCTTTAGAAGTAGTAGGTCATGATTTCCTTTAATTTCACTATAAATTACTAGTAGATATGTGTATTTCTAGAAGTTCAATTCGCATTCATTTAATTATCAATTAAAATGCCACGCTACACACGGGTATATCATTATGCTTAAAATACCGTTTATTGAAAAATACTATAAATAACGAATCGGTAACGATTAAAATTGGTAATTGTATTTTTAGTAATTTAGGAATGATATATGAGTGCAATATCCTGATTACAATGTATTTAAATACAATGTATACATAATATTTGTAAAACTTGTTTTTAATTCTGAATCAGATTTTATAGTTTATTTCTATAATTAGCTTATTATTTAAAAATAAATATTGTTTTATAAAGTCTGTCTGAATAAATAACACAATACTGGATACAGTAGAGAACAACTAATAACACCAGCCTGTGATCTCAGGATCAGAAATCAACAAAAGAATTAAGTAGCATGGAGTACTTATGGAAGAAACTCAGTCATGTTCAAACCTAGAATGCCACTTTATCTAAAGAAGATAATTTTCGACCAATGTGTACTACCAGTCATGACCTATGCATGCGAAACCTGGACACCTAAAATGGACATTATAAAGAAACTTCAGGTCGCACAACGCTCAATGGAACCAATAGATGAACCACAAAAATTACAGCATGGTACCCACGAGGAATTAAAAGACCTAAAAGAGAAGACTAAACCTGAGATGAGACCATAATATTAGTAGATAAATAAGCAGGGATAACTTGGGCCCGTATAGCCAACAACAGATAACAATGGGCCCAATACAAAGAGATCTAAATATGTGAGGGACGCTATACCATCATTGAAAAGGGTTGGATAAGCTGAAAATGATGAAAGTCTCTCCAACGACAGAAAGATTTTGGCAGATAGCATTTAAAAAATGATAGAGAGTACAATTTGCCTATGAATAAAAATGATAGACACAACTGTCCTGGGAAACCTCTCATTGGAAAGACTATATATCCACAGACAGTAATATTATACAAATATAACAAGTTTAAAATATTATGATAATCTAGGTATATAAAAACATAGACTGACTTGTCGATATTAAATCATACGTGCAGAGAGTGAAATTAATTATTTATATATTACTGCAATATTATTCTATGAAAGTTCTGCAAGTGAAAGTCCCGTAATAAGTGGTTTCGTCGTTTTGAAGATCAAGATTATTAACGTCTGTACCTTTGTGACAGGTTCATTTCTAGAAAAAAGCTTGGGAATTTTGCCACCGAAGGAGAAATCTTAAAAAAAGTTAAAGTTATTTTTGTAAACATCACTTCGTAGAATGCAAATGGAAACCAGCCTGTCAATGGTTCTGTAACAAATTTGCCTAACCGGCAAAAAATACTTAATGTTTCAAGAAAACTAAAAGACCTTAAATAGTAAAATAAATCAGTCATTCACTGCAATACACCAAAACATTTTACTTTTAACACTGGATGCGTCTTTCGTAACTGCTGATGATGATTATCGAGATTAAAACAGTGAATTTTAATCATTTGCTGATGATGCTGACATATAGTTAGCAAAACGCGCGTCTAGTGTTAAAAGTAGTGTTGTGGTGAATTACTGTTGTATTTTTATATTGTAGCACCAAAGGTGTCAAACCCAAACTGTACTTTTAAATAATGTTTGCTTCTGACGACGCGACGGGAGGAGATCACAACCTTCTGAAAAGGGAAGCATTTTTTGTTAGATAAGCAATTTTGATTTAGGAGTAACAGAGTTAGATAAGTAACAGAGTTTTAGAAGTATCCATAGAGTAACAGAGATTTAGAAGTAACAGAGTTAGATTTAGGAGTAACAGTTCTGCTTGGATTCTACGAAGTGGTGTTTAAAAAAGAATACATTTTTTATTTCTTACATTTGGCAAAATATCCAGTCTTTTTCAAGAATTTTGATAATAAACAATAGGTTTAAAAATTTGAAAAAAGATAAAAATATCTACCTTGTTGCAAGAGAGTATAGAAAACAAATACTAATTATATATGTATTATAAATGATTAGAAAATCAAAATCTTTAATTGATCTCTTTTTTAAGAAAAAATACCGGGTGTTTCTCACAAGTGGTTAACCCCTATAACTTTTTTATTTTTTCAGATTAAATAAATGAGATTTGTTGCAGTTAGTACGAGTATATGACATTGAAACATTGAAAAAAATCAGGATTGATTGAATTATACGATTGTTTTCGGTCACTTTCGACTTCACCTGAAATGACTACAACTTTTGATTTTTTAATGGCATTCATTGGTATTTTTTGACTTTAATCCATACAAAAATGTCACTCTGAATGGAATGAATTTAAATTGTTACATTTTTGGCCATGGCACTCTTAATTGAAAATGTCAGAAATTGACATATACAGGGTGTCCCACTTAAGATGGATACAAGCCAATATCTTGATTGTTTGTTGAGCGATCTTTTTCATTTTTGGCAGGAGGCTGTATGGCTATAAGACGTACATTTTGCCCAGGGTAAGAAATGCGATACCTCATAGACGTACGTTTTAATGGGGTTTGATATTTTTCGAGTCAAGAGTAAACTACCCTTAGGACAGTATTTATTTCAAATCTGATAAATAATATTGAATCCTCCTTACCCAAGATACTTAAGATTCTAATTTTGATAAATGTTGATACAGGGTGTGTTATTAAAATAAGACATTCTTATTTTTGTTATTATTTTTTAAGTACTTACGACGCCACTGGATAAAAAACTGGTTAATTATCAATAACCAATTATAACCAATTATTAATTAATAATCGATTTAAGTTTTCAGATAGCTTCCATAATAATTAAGATACGATACAAAAAAACTAAATCTTTTCAATTTATTTCGATTGCTTTAAAAAATTGTTTTTTTACGTTTGCTAATACAATAAATTAATATATTCTTTAAAATATTTCTCAATAAAACGAATAAAAATCATATTTCAGATTCCATTGCAAACTGGATTTTTAAATTATTTTGTAACTCATTTTATTCATTTTTTCTATTAGCAAACTTAAAAAACAATTTTTTAAAGTAAACAAAATAAATTGACAATGTTTAGTTTTTTTGTATCGTATCTTAATTATTATTGAAGCTGGAAATCTGAAAACTTAAATCGATTATTAATTGATAATTGGTTATA